TTGTACAGTTTCAAGCTTTCCTAAATTTTAGCTGATGGGCTGGAGTGTCCTTTTGTGGAAAGCATATCCGAGCAATGTAGTTCTTTAGCGTTGCAATTATCTCCTGCCTTCCCCATGGCACTTTTCTAGTGAATAACGCTCAGCAAAAATTGTTTTAACTCTTTTTTTTCTATTTTATATGCAATTTTAAAAAAATATTATTTATTCTACTTACCAGTTTTCATGCTTTCTGAAGAGCAACCCCTGTCCCTGTTAAAGAGTCAGCATTGAAATGAATACTGCCATTGTTGGTGCCTGCTGCTCAAGTGCTGCTGAATAAAACAGTGCCTAAGTGCTTCCCATTTGCAGAACTGAACCTCCCACCACCCAGGGTTTTAATGCTTTAACTGCTCTTTAAAATTGAAAGAGATGCACTGTTAATATTGATGGTAACAAACAGCTACCCTGTGTAACAAAATGTGGCTCTCACCTGCTCCTGACCTACGCCAGCAGCCCGTCCCACAGGCTGAAAGGTTTGCACCTATGAGCAGTAATGTTGTAATGCTGTCCTGACACAGCAGGAGACCCTGAATGCTCAGAGCTCTCCCAGTCATCCTGAAGAAGACAACACTGATGCCTGTATCTAAGGTGATAAAGGATGCTTAAATCGTACTGTAAAAGGCTGTGTGCATTAGTTGTATGCTGCTTGGCCTAAGCTTGAAAGAGGTCACAGGACAGTGCAGAGCAGAGCTTGACTTGTCTCGTTTTACTTGATTTTAGCTCCAGTAATGTGGTTACATTTTGGTTTTAAAGACTTGAGCTACACAGAAAAATAATTTCTGACCTCTTTTATGGCACTTTCTCCAACTTACAAAACCCAGTGTCTTTGCTTTACTCCATTTAATAGTTTTCCTCACTTTGCTACCCACTTTATTAAAACATTTATCTGATAAGCCATTGTTTTCTTCTGTCTTTAAAAGCTACTTTTTAAATTCTTGGTTTCACGTAAGATGTACAGAAACTTCATTCAGCTGACACTGGCAAATGGCAGAACATACTTTTCACCACTTTTCGATGTACGCTTACTATTCAAAAGAGTCATAGGGTTTTTTCACTAGTTAGAAGGACTTGGGATGCTATTAAATTATCTTCCAATGTTTGCACAGCTAAAGGTATAATGATAACCAAAAATTACTTGTGATTTAAAGATTTTATTTAAATACTGCTCTAAAAGGTAGAACAAAATTAAAATGATCAGTAGTTTCAGCTAAACATCATAGAAGAAATGTGGGAAGAAGGGATGACATAAAAAAAAAAAGAAATCTATAGCTTTAGATAGGAAAAAACTTACATTTTTAAACAACTCAGAAGAATTGTAGGTAAGGTTTAATAGCCTCTCTTCCTCTGTACTTATGATATGCTTAATAGTCTTCATACATGACTTCAAAAACTACATTTATGCTCTATTAAAAGGAGTCTCAATGTACATTTAGGACCCAAATTTTCTTGCCAGTATAACTGGATTCTTCAACATATGTGCTCAAGCCACAGTGCATTATTCACATAAGAATAAAGAGTCAGAAATGCTTCCTAAAATTAACATAGAGGAAGACCCAAGGCCTTATTTTCAAACTTAAACCGACTAGGAGTTCAACTTGCAAGTCAGCTGGATTACTTGCAGGAGAAAGAGTTTAAGACTGGCTCCAAAATGCAAAGAATGTATCTAATTTCTTTTCTGTTCTCAAATCCTCTGTAGTGCTAACTCTTACAGATTAGATCATATATTTTGCAAAGTGTTATAAACTCGCTTTCATCACTTGATTTTGCAATGCAATAAATAAAGCTCTTTTAATGCCATGAATGAAATTGTGCAACTTTTGAATCAGTCATTATCAAAAGAAACCTTTCTATTAACTAAGTATGTGTCAAATTCTCTGATGCTGTGAAACTCCAAAGAGTTTGTTCAGTCACTGCTGAACTTCCTAAATCAAAGTGCCATGAGATATTATATAGTTTTTGTTTAGTATTAAAAGAATTTATTATTATACAGACCTCAATGCATAATGCTAGTTCCAAATCTTTTATCTAAGTATGCTTATTGAACTACGGAAAATTGTTTCCATGAGCAGGTTTTGAAAGTCTGACTCAACAACAGTAATAATCACCTGGATTGTGGAAAAGCCCCAGCCTATTGCTTGTTTTCATTTTTTAGTAATTTTTCTCTTTAGAAAAATAAATGTGTAATTGAAAACTTAACACAATCTCTGAAAATTACACTGCCAGCCACTTACGAAGATTTCCTAAACCAGTCTGTGTATGAGCACAGGGGACTGCCTGTGTGAAGCACATTACAAGATGTGGCAGGATTTACATGTAATGCGGATTGCACTGAAGTCCTATTAATGTCAGTAGTAGCTGATGATAGAAGCAGGCAACCCAATTTGTATTCAATGGTGGAATTCCAATTGGTATTAGAGCAGGCTCTGAGAAAATAAAGATGGTTGGATGATAATAAAACAAATTTCCCAACACTGTAAATTAGCCAAGTGATTATACAGTAGTATCTTTACCTTTTTAAACAAGTTTGCTATTTAAAGAAAAAAAAAAAACAAACAAGAAGAAAGCAACAAAAAAAGTAAAAGTTTAATCTAGAGGTGTTCTTCTGTCCTATCATAAGGCCTTTTCTTACCAAGTGGGTAGTATTGATGCAGACACTCTCTTCAGTCAACAAAATGGTGCTGTGCTGTCACCCCTTTATCTTCAACTCCACCTGTCAGCCTGACAAAGTTTCCTGGTGGTACTTTCTTTTACCTGACAGTTGTTTAAACACTCCCAGCACCAGTGGCAATGCTGGCAAAAAAAAAAATCATATAATCATATTTATTAATTTTTAAAGTGCTGTATTGTGAGCACTACAATGATCTGAAATGGAACAGCTGTCGCTTCTTTACACACATGTACCTGGGCTTCCATAGGGCTCTCTATGCTATTAAATTATAAAGGTCTCCTTTTAATGATGCGCAATGGATATATATTTGTCAGGTAAAAGAAGATAAACTAATTCAGAAACATAATAGAAAGTAGATCCCCATTTTATTATCAAGCAAAACTTTCATTAAGGTTGCAAGGTTTCTTTTGCACAAGAGTTGCACAACCAGAAGTAACACCACTGAAAGCAGGGAAGTTGCAATTGATAAAATTACAGGATGAACTTGGCTTAGAACTTTCCCTTCTACTGCAACTAATGTACTTGTGGCTTAAATAGACAATGAATTGTATTATTTATAATATTTTATATTTTTATATTATTATTTATAATATTTTAATCAATTTTGGATAGGAACCAAACAAAAGCATAATATAAATAATATCAGGAATGGCAACTGGATGGATTGTTTTTCACTTTTCTCAGCGAATTAAACAGACAAGGAACTGTTTAAAGTAGTGGGGCTTTTTCATAAGGGAAGGGAACACAAACAAACACTGAAGAAAAAATAATGCAGTCCCCTGGGACTACAAAGCACCCTTTCCACTGGCATTCTCAAAACAAGTTGGCTGGAGCTATCCAGAGTTAAAAGGAGAAATCAAGCCCTTTCACAGCCAAACTCAGATATCCTTTCTATCTGTTTAGCCACTTGAGACTACTGAAAGCATCTACTTAACCCCCAACAGAAGATATTTTGGGAAGAGTACAGTTTGAGAACTAATAATCATTAAAAAAAAAATAATCAGATGGTATATAATGGTGAAAAGGAAAAATAAAGGAAGAAAACAGATTTTTTTCAAAGGCGATCCAACACTCAGTCATTTTAGTCTGAATAATGCAGCTTTTTTACCAGCTCTGTTCATTCCCTTTGAACTCGGTAGGTTGGGAACCTCTGTCTGTCTAGATCTGTGAGGTCCCTGGTATTCTTCACTGCTTGACAAATAAATAAGTATTCGGCCCAAAATACATTTACCTTGGCTCTTCTGCATTTCAAACAAAAATAATTCAATTTTATTTTTCAACTTTCTTCCTGGTATGTTTGCTATAAAGCATCAACAGGATTTTTTAAATGTTTATTAAAACATTAATAATGTTTTAGCAAAATTAGGCATTGGGCAATGATTATCACTAAAATCCTTAAAGACATGCATCTCCCACCTTTCTGAAGCTTTCCAAGATCCTAATTGAGTTTCTCAATCTGTCTGTGGTTCTTAATTTTCTCAGGAGCCTCAAACTGCTGACAGTGTCTCACACAAATAAACAGTAGAAATAGCCCCTAGGACTGAGAGGTACGTTTCAAGCCAGTAAACTGAATGCACCGGTTTGCATTTACACACGTAGGTGAAGACACATCGGTCCCTGCTGAAGTCAATGGGAATTTTTGCCTTGAAGCCAGGACTACTTTTTCACAATTCATACTGAAGCCTCTATAAAAGTGAAAGGTGGCAAAAACCCTTGTAGGAGAACAAGACTGGTTATCACTCCTAGGAATATGATTGAAAATACATGCCATGGGGGCTCAGTGGGCATAGGCAAAGTTGAAAATATATGCTCCTCTGAAAGCAGTGAAATTACTTTAGCAGAGGGTAGACAGAAAACATTAACGAGACAGAGATTTAAGAATGTTATCATCGGGACTGTCACTGGCATTTTTTTTAACTTTTCTTCAACCGATTCCAAAACACGTTTTGAAAACACATGAAGGGAAGTAACACTCCTGCGAAATCCAGCAGCACTGCTGGACCGATCTGATGGCCACTCTGGCCCCGCCGGTCACCGGGAGAGGCTTTCCGCTTTCCTCCCCCCTTCATGGGAGTCCCCTCCCGCCCCGTCAACAGTTGATCCGAGCGTACCCGCGCCCGCTACGCGTAACCCCCGGCAGGGACGGCCCGGGGAGAAGCCGGGCGGCGGGGAGGGACGCCCCAGGAGGGAGGAAGGGCAGGACGGCGGCGAGGCTTCCCGGCAGGCGCATCCACCGCCCAGGTCCGGGGGGAGCTGGGGACGGTGGAGCCCTGGGAGCCTGCTCGGCTCCTACCTGGTAGGCGTCGGGGATGTTGACGGTCTCTCCGTGCTCCGCCACGTAGCCGATGATGCCCTTACCCCAGGGCACCTGCACCTCGTTGCTGTTCTCGGTGGAGCCGCAGGGCAGCAGCGGGGTGCCGGCGTGCACGTCGAAGAACTTGGAGACTAAACTCTTCTTGCCGGCGGCGGCCCCCTCCACGAGGAAGAGGGAGCCCCGGTCGGCGTCTACCATGAGGCAGACGAAGATGAGGATCTTGTAGCTGAGGCTAGTGAGGTCCAGGTCGTTGGAGATGTCCTTGACCAGCTCCAGGAAGAACTGGCGCTCGTTATGCTCCTTGAGGTAGCGCTTGTAGTCCAGGGCAGTGGGGGGGTACTGGGGCAGGCTGATGCGGGACTCCAGCAGGGCGCTGAGGATGTGCGCGGTGGTGGGGGGCAAGGAACTGGCCTTCCGTAGCAGCGCCCGCCGCCGTACGCTGCTCAGCGGCTCCTGCGCCCGGGCGTGCACATGCTCGTCGTAGGTAAGGTTGACATGGATGGCCTTGGAGCGGGCGAAGCTCTTCCGCAGCTCCATCTGAGAGGCTCGGCGCTGGAGGACGCCGGGGCCGCCTGCACTGCCCCAGCCGCCGCTGGGGCCGCAGCTGCTTCGGCGCTCCTCCGACGGGCCGGCGGCGGGTACCGAGGGCGCTTTAGGAAGCGAGTTCTTCCTCTTCAGCCACTTCTCCACCAGCTCCGGGTGCCTCTCTAGGAAACTTTCCACCGCCGCCACGTCGAGGCCAGTGTCGGCGGCGGCCGCCATGGTGCCGGCGGTGGGGGTGGCTCAGGCCGCAGGAGCCCCCGCGGAGGCCATGCCCCGCCGCTTCCACGTGCTGCTGCCGCCCCGACGGCCGCCCCGGGGCACGGGGTGTGCCGGTAGCCCCAGTGAGGAGCCGGTCCTGCCCCTTGCCCGGGCCCGTCCTCGGGGGTGCGCCTTCTTCTCTCCCTCTGCTTCCCCCCGAGACCTCCTTTTCCTGCCCACACTCTTTATTATTATTAGCAGTAGTATTAGTATTATTCTAGGTATTTGCCTGGTCCTTGACTCTCAGCCCTTGTCTGGTCGTGGCCCCGGCGCCCGGTTTTGGGCCGGCTACCCCAGTGAACCGGGCAGGCGCTGCCGCCGCGCCTCTGGAGATGCTCCGGGAGCGCTCGGGCAAACCGCTTCTGCCAGGCGCTGTCAGTGCTGGCGGCGGCTGCTGCGTAACCCAGCCGGCGGACCGCTGAGGAGGGAGGGAGGGAGGGAGGGGCGGGTGGGGGGAGGACGCGGGAGCCGAGCGAGGGGGCAGGCGGGGAGGAGGGCGGGCTGACGAGCCCCGCTGCGGGGGGGGGGGGGAAGCACCGCCGCAAGCCTGGCGGCAGCCGCCTCACAAGCCTCCCCGGGGAAAGCTGGGGGAGAAGGGTAAAAACGCGCAGGGTGCCCGGGCGGAGGACCGCGAGCAGGGGGTGCTGCGCTAAGGAGCTCCGCAGCAGTGGGCGCCTCATTCAGGATCATCGGTGGGCGTGTGCGGGGGGAGAGGGAGGGTCCTTTTGTCTGTCTTGCGTGTGCAAGGGAAGGGGCAAGCCCGGTCTGCGGGCGAGGCGGGGGGAGTTAAGGCGAGCGCTCCCGTTAAAGAGGTTTGATTTACAGCATTATTTGCGCCGCTTCAGTACTTCAGCACTTCAGCAGACAGGCAGAAACGCGGAGTCCCTCCAGAAAGACCAAGCGAATTCCGTTTGTTGAATCCCCGCGTTGAGAAGCCCGCATCTCTCCCGCGGGTGGACCGGCTCTGCCCGGCTTTCCGCGTTGGGCGCCGTGCAGCGGGGCAGGGAACGGGCTCTGCCCGCGGGGCCGCCCAGAGCCTTGTACCCACGAACCGCTTCCCCGGCAGGCGCTCGGCGGTAGCGGGCTTGCCGAGGAGCTCCTGGGAGCCCGCTCCTGCAGCACCGGCTGCCAGGGGGAAGCCGACTGTATCCACCGGGGCGGACGGACCGGGATTATTTTTATGCGCACGTGGAACACGTTTCATTGCAAAATCGATGCTTACGCGTAAGCGACTGAAAAAAAAAAAAACAAAAACACAAAACGGAGTCATGGATCTTAACACGTGAAAAATGTCTTTCATGAGCTCACCAAAGACTGAATGGAGGCAGCTTCAGAAATTCATGAATGGGAGTTTGGGTGGCTGGGAAAACACACGGGCAAACCTTCAATAAAACGAGATTCCGACCTGCCGGGGACCCTGCTCCTGCAGCAGCCCATCCCGGCTCGGGGATGCAGGCAGTGCTTGCAAGGAGGGGGAACAATTTCGGGACAGGTGTGGATAGTGAAGGTGGGTTTTTGGGGAGGGAGGGCTGCGTGTGTGCCCGAGGGGCTGCCGTGTCTCCCGCAGCAGTCGGGGGTTGCGAGAGGCTCCCTGAAGGTGCTGTGGCTCCCGGAGACTGCTTGAGAAGCGACAAAGGGTATCTGCCCCCGGTCTCGGTGCCTGCGATGTTGCAGGCGGAGCAGCAGCTCCCTCACTGCCGCCGTCCCCGGGCTGCCGTGGTGCCAGGGCTCCGTGCTTACCCCTCGGTCAGCGGCACTGCTTCTTTCTGCTCTCCTGGCTCTGCCCGCGGGGCCGGGGGCTGCCGTGGCGCGGGGAAGGGGCTGCTCCCTGCCGCCGCAGCGTGCCTTAGCTGCAGCTGAGTTGCCGGGGGGTTCCCGGCTGCCGCACCCGCGGCGAGAGGACTGGGCGAGGGGCGGGAAGAGGGGACGTCGGAAGACATGCTTAGGGGCTCGCCCCGGAGCTGCTCGCACCTCTAAAGAAGCTGAGCTCGTTCATACAGGCATCGTGGACATGAAATTGCGGGCGTGTCTCGGTGAGGGCAAGGGCGACTGAAACATTCAATGTTTTACGCATTTCTGTCGGCGCGCTGCTGACACGCTGCCGGGGCTGTGAAGTGAAGGGACTTCACACGCGGCAGCAGGCACAGCGCCACGTCGTCGGCGGAGGCCCCGCTGTTGGCGCACATCTGTACACTGCTGCTTGTGTTGCCATTGAAGTGGCCCCAGCTGCTGGCACTGCGTCAGCGTCAGCCTTGAAGGGAGCCCGCTTTCCCGAAGCTGCTAATCGCTATTTGGCCTTTCCAGTAGCATTCGTGGTTTTGCAACGCTGGCACAAACACTTCACTTGCACAAAGATACCACGTAAGCTGCTGAAGGCCTGGCCGGCACTTACTCTGAGCTCTTCAGCAAGGACCCTGGGGATCTGCATGCAAGTGAAAGAACTGTACGTAAATATTTTGTACCATCTCACTATGGTAAGGTTTGGTCTGGGCACTCACACCAATGTTTACTACATAATGGTTACTGTGTAGCAGTTCTGTATGTGAAAGCTTAAAGCAATTTAGTGTTTCCAGATACAATGTGACAAATTATCACATTTGATGAATTGTCTTTTCTGTAACTCGCACAGGTTTTGTAAAACCTGATTCACAAAGCTGGCCAGGTGCATCAGTGAATGTTAGGAGAAAACTTGGGTCTGTGTTCTGCACACATCAGGCTTTACCTCTGTTTGCAGGGTGAGTAAATCAAGCACACAGTATACTGGGCTGCAGCTCTGTGTGTGAGCCTGAGACAGATTAGTTGAGGCATTTCATGGGAAGGCTAAAGAGGCAAATGGCTTTTGTCAGGGTCATAGGATTGTGCTGCCTTTGTAACTCTACAGCTATGCTGCAGTGAGGCACAGACAGCTTTTATCTGCTGCATCTGATGTATGATGCACCCTTTATTTGTGTGGATGCACAAAGACAATTCAGACAGCAAAGCAGAATTTAGCCAGTCCCACCTGGTCTCCTCGGGTACAAGCATGCAAAGGTGCCCTAAAAGAATCAAGAGGAGAAACTAGAGTTTATTTCTCAGCAGAGCGTGTTTCTCTATTCAGAAAGGCAGTGGCAAATGCACTCTTAAAACTCTTCGAAATGAAATTGAGAAAAGCACTCCAGAAAATTTTTGTCATTGAGGCAGATGCTTTAATTGTCTAAACAGTCAACAGAACAGGTCCCAACTGTCAAACTGAAAGGGGGAACTATCTTACAGCTACAGTACAAAAGAAAAAGGAAGCTGGTTGTGTCACAGAACTTTTCACCCCACTCTTGCTTATTCCCTTACTTAAAAACAGCAGTTGAACTCCTTGGAGCATGGCAAGACAACTGGTTAAAGCTCCTGGTGGGTAAGCATCAGAACAATACTGATAAAGTGAGGACCTGGGAATAGATACTGTAGTAAATTAGTTTATATTAATGTTCCCTTCTGCAAAGACATAAGGAAACCTTAATTGAGTGAAGTATGTTTTAATGTATTACATTTGTGTAAACTGAGAATTAAATTGTAAATCTCAATTCAAGTGGTAGAGATTCATGAGGAGGTTTTAGGAGGACTTTAATCGCCTTCATCAATCCTCTGCTGTTGGTGAAAATATCTCCTACTATCATTTGCTTGACCTAGTTATCCCTCATTCACTCTAGATGTTAGAGGTTAAAGATACCTTAGTATATTAGCCTCAAATGGAGACAAAGAACCCACAACTCTGAAAACAGATCGGTAGAGAATTATTATTATTTTTTTAATACACAAAGGAACAGTAACAGAGGAACAGACTAACCCCCCACTAAACAGAGTGGGGCAGTGTTTTTAAACCAAAGAGATCATGGTGTTCAGGTATCTCCTCAAGATTCAGGTCAGCATCACTATTGAAAGGTTACTTGTTCTCTGAAAATATCCGATATTCTTGGTTTTCCACCTCCCCCACTTTTATGTAGTGTTCTTTAAATGTAAGGTTATGTTTTGTTACCTACTGTAGATGGTACTTTCCTTCACAGGTGATAATGCTGAAGATTGTTTTTCATGAATAAAAACTTCATATAGTTGTCAGTCCTACTGTTTACAGGCACTTTCTTATTTACGTAGCCACAATTAAATAATAGTTTCGCTGAGTGTTCTAATAATTAGTTGCAGATTGGGCTCTCAGATCTCCTTATAGAAAGGAACAGCATTTCTATAGCACACTTCACAAAGGTCTATGAAATATATAACACAATATAAATTATTCTCACCTTCCAATGTTTTTAATTAGAACATAGCATCTTCAAACATATCATTGTTTGATTTTGCTAATGCCAGTCCCTAAGGAATAATTAGATTAAAAATATTAAAACCTGACATAGCAGCTAATCAAAATCCAAAACATTTTTCACTAACCTTACAACTGTGGCAGCAGTGCTTCAAGAAGTTGCTTTTTTCAAGTATGCAACAAGATCAGCTCTTTCATTTTTCTTTTTAATTCCAGCAAAATCATTTTTGTACCAGGAATGTATTTCTTAGGGTTTTCCAAATACTCCATCATTGTACTCTCACTCCAGACAATTCCTGAAAAAAAAAAAAATTATAAAATACAAGGCTGGCCCAACAGCATGTATATATGATATGAAAATGTCAACCATCTCAAATCAAAGGTGTGATGCTCCTGAACATAATGTGTCTAGAATCCAAGAGGAATGTGAGCATAAATAATACATGATGTAAAATGCACAAGGTATATGTTGTCTTTGTGTCACTTTAACAAGTCAAATGTAAATCCTTTTTGCATCGTAGAGACTTGCAGTTCTTTGCACAATTTCACATAAAACTACTTAATACTTTTAAGCTATGTTATACCTTTGTAATTCCAGAATGCAGAAGATCCAACTTTTAATTTCATACGGGTGTTGAAAATAAGATCTACAGATTAGCATGAAATTCATCAAGGCTGTGCTCCACTGAAGGGCATTAGAAAAGCAGTTGTCAGCGGCCAGATCCTGGAATCTCCTGACATAAGTTGAAATACTATTCGTGTTTCCTCCCAACCCTGATAAAACCCGTCTCTGTCAACAGAAGCAGCCTACTGTTGTACTCAAGACTATACAAATACCTCTAACTACATGTTCAAGTTTCTCTTCTGCCCTCCAGAGTTGACTCTTCCCATGGTCTAAGGTGGATTTAGATGTCACTTAGTTGGCTTTCTTTTAAAAACTTGTACTAACACCTGTATGATTTGTTCACTAAATTTTTAATGAGAAAAAATACTTAACATATACTGACATTTTTTTTTGTGTGAAGGAAGTCCTAGTATAAAGTGAATGTCACAAAACATTTCCTAGAAATCACAGAATAACAAAGAAGTCAGCCAGTTCTAAAGTACCTTAGCAACCAGG